TTGTTTTAGATGGCCCTGGCTGGGTTTGAACCTGCCAGCCTTGGTGTATGTGGCTGGTGCCCTACTCACTGAGCTATGGGCACTGCCCATTCCAGAACTTTTTCATCACCCCACTGTGGTTGGTTTCATCTTCCCATCATGGCTGGGAAAGCCCAACCCATTAAGCAGTCTCTCCTCATTCCCCTCCCTCTGGCCCCCTGGCAACCACTGATCTGCTCTCTGTTTCCATGGACAGGCCCATTCTGGACATTGCATATACATGGAGGCATACGATGCGAGGACTCTGGGGCTTCTTTCCCTTTGCATAATGTTTCAAGGTCCATCCATGTCACAGCATATCTTAGTATTTCATTCTTTTTTCTGTCTCAGTAATATTCCATTGCATGGATATAGCACATGTTCTTAATCTTTGCATCCACTGTAGATATCTGGGTTGTTTCCACATTTTGGCTATTGTGAATAGAGCTGTTATGTACATTCCTGCACCAGTTTTAGTTTCAACACCTGTTTTCCATCTTGCCAAACCTTATGATAATTCTAGGTTTAACTTATTGAGGAATTGCCAAACTATTTTCTATAAGGGCTGGACCATTTTACAACCCCACCAAAAGTTTACGAGGGTTTTAATTTCTCCAGATCCTGGCCAAAGCTTGGTGTTGTCTATTTTTTTTTTGCAATTTTTGGCTGGGGCTGGGTTTGAATCCACCACCTCTGGCATATGGGGCTGGTGCCCTACTCCTTTGAGCCACAGGCACCACCCAGTGTTTTCTATTTTTTTAAAAAAACTATGGTCATCCTAGAGTGTGTGAAGTGTATCTCATTGAAGTTTTGATTGGCTTGTCCCTCATGACTATTGACACTGGAACATCTTTTCATTTGCTTTTCGGTCATTTGTATGTTTTCTTTCAACGTCCTTTGCCCATTTTTAATTGGATTGTTTGTCTTTTTGTTGCTGAGTTGTAAGAGTTTTTATATATTCTGGATACTAGAATTTATAAAATTATATATATTCTAATATATATCTGATGTAATTATACCTGATATATATCAGATATATATTAGAATATATATAATTTATATATTTATATATAAATAAATTACATATATTTATTTATATAT